GGGGGTACATCTCCCCGGGGCGACAGGGGTGGGCGGCCAGACCGGGTTTTGAGAGCTGCTAACAAGAGCCTCTGGCTGCAAAACTTGCTCCACAGCTCCTAGCAGGAACTGCTGCCACATCCCTGGCCCTGGGCTTTCCTCCAGCCGGAGGCAGATGGCAAGCAGCACAGAGGAAAGGAGGTGGCTCCTGCAGCACCTGGGTCAGCTGTGAAGACCCTGGCCCGCAAATGGCTGGAAATCAGCAAAGCCACCTGCAAAACCGCTGCAGGATGCGTGCCCTCCCCAAGGCAGCTCATCTAGAATCTAGGGCGCCAGGCTAGGGTAACTGTTGGTCTAACTTGGTCCAGCCCACCACATTATTGACCATATAGGAGCAGCCTGGGCACCTAAATGGTTTTTTTTGCACAAAACTCACCCTGAGTTCGCAAAGCTGAGCAGACAGGTTCACGCAAGCTGTGTGTGCTGGTAGCTCAGAATAAGGAGACAAACCTTCCCTCTAGCGGCTGTACGGCACGTAAGCCTCGCAGTTGCCTTCTCTCACCACGCCAAGAGTAACAGCACTGTTTTCACCAGCTCTTAGGCTCAACACGGATCCGAAGTGCATTAAGTATCTTAGGAACACGCCGAGGCTATGCCAGGCAGCCGGCAGCACGGTTCATGCACAAGTGCATCCTGGGCACCGGGGAAGCCACACAGCCACGAAACATTGCTGGCATATTTCTGCAGCAAGGATGGTTTGTGAGGCTAATTCTTCAGCTGAGTTACTTCCCCTTACAGCAAGCATTTAGTGGAACGGAGGATCAGGCCTAGAGTTTCTCTAGGACCTTTTTATTACAGGTCTTTATAGAATCATAGAATCGTTTCGGTTGGAAAAGACCTTTAAGATCATCCAGTCCAACCATTAACCTAACACTACCAAGTCCACTACTAAACCAGTTAAGGGTAGAGTAATAATTTCATGTTTCCTGGATTGATGGATGGATTATTTTTAATGAAAGTAAAAACTAGGAATCATTAAGTTTGGAGCAGCAGTCAGTGCAGATCCTAGACTGTGCTGCTCAAATCCTAACTGTGGCACAAGCACACACATTAGCACATACATTTCCAAAATGACTAAGATCCACTTTTCCATTTACAAATTAGGGAGTTTATTCACACCCTGTCAAGCTCGCACCCTGCAACTGGGCCACCAAATACTGAACCAACTCTGTTGTCCATAACCAAAATGCTGATGGTGCACCGTCTCAGACTACAGGGCCGCCTGCTGTTATAATCTGTGTTCCCACGTGACGTTATAACCTGTAGGAATAGAGATTATAATCTGTGTACAGATCATACAGGAATACAGTAGGAAATAGCTGTCTGAAGCTTCCCTGCTCACAACAGCGCGTCAGTGGCACAGTCCATCGGACTGTCTTCCTGGAGAAAACACAGGGGTAACATTTTCCGGGGCTGCAGCAACCCCATCCTCAGCAGCAGATCTGGGAATACCTCCCAGGAGGGTGTGCAACTTTCAGCTTTGTAAGCCACATGCAAGCACAAGTCCAGCCAGCTCTTTGCTCCTTCGGGAGATGCAATAGTGCACCAGATCACTGACACCAAGTCAGAAATTTCGGTGCCGAGTGGTCTAACCCTGACACATGGGTTAACGTGTTATAGCGTACGCTTCAAGGCACATGAATACACCTGCAGAAAAAAGCCCTTGCTCCCTCCATCAGTCCATCCCACCTCTGCCAGGGCCAGAAAATGCAGTCTCTTGCAAAACGGCTGCATGCGGTATGATCAACTTTGCCTTTTCAGTTTGGGTCTTATTTAAAATCCTTTCCAATGCATGCAATGCAAGAAATGCTTCCTTTTCTTGATTTTGCCATTTCTGTCTGCCTTAAACCCTTGGAGAAGTTCTTACGTTGGGATTAATCACATGATAGGTTGAAAAAAACCTACTCAAAATTACAGGCAGTGACTGCTACAGCCTTTACTAGAGACTTTGATCTTTTAAGCTCAGAAAGAGGCTCATGTGTAGATTTGGAAGCCTTGAATTTCACTCCTGTTGGCCATTACTCACCCAGGGATGTTATGTTATAGCTATATTAAAAATGAATACAGCAACTTTGACTTCTTCAGTGCAGGAAGTGAATATGAATCAAAACTGCCCTTATTTCAGCTAAGGGAAAATGATAAATGGAACACAAATACTATGAAATAGAAGTAGAAAGGCTCTTTAATAAAGGTGATTTGCTGTTCAGATAATAACAGCCCTATCCACACCTCCTCTGATTATTCCCCTGCCATGGACACACTCACAGACCCAATGCAATCAGAAACAAAAAGACGTTACCAGGGAGCAAGACCATCTTCTTGCAGCAGAGCCCCAGAAGATGTGCCTCTTCTAGAAACATCTCATAATTCCCTGAATGGTCAGGCATTCACACCCAACGTATATGAGTCGCTGCTAAAATAGACCCCAACAATAAAACCTTACTACCTACCTTTAGTGCTTAGCTGAACACTGTTCATGTCCAAGGAATGGGCTGAGAAAGTATGGAGTGACAGTGAATATTACAGCAACAGGGTCCTGCCATTACACTAGCAAACAGGTTGTGTAGAGCCCTTTATAACTAATCAAACATCCATATCAGGTCACGGTTAAGGGTAGCACAGAAAATCTGTTACCAGCCCTGCCCAAAAAATTGGTCTTCCTCTAACACAGAGACAAGTTGCATATTCTTCTTGCCTCCATTTCTTTGGCAAAGGAGGGAATGCTTTCCAGCTTCAGCAGGCTGATGGGAAGATGCAATGTGGCCCAGACATAACAGATAATTAGTGCTAAGGGCAAGTTAGTGCCAGGGATTTGATGCGAATATGGGAAATATTTCAGCATTGCTCCTGGGAAGCTCCTGCCTGTCTTCTGTTTACTTGTCTACCTGTGCAGTGGTGGTATGCTGGCAATCCGTGCACAGGCTGCACATGACTTAGCCCTGCTGCAGCATGCCCTTGTCTGCAGATGCACCATGTTTATACTGTCCTACTCCTCAAGAAAAACATCTCTAAGATAGAAATACAGCAAGAAGATAAAATTAACGTATCAATTAAGAAGCACAAAATTCCCAGAACAAATCTAGACACTCTATTTTTTAATCCTGAGAAAAACAAAGGCTACAGTACACATCTGTGTAAGGAACCTCACACACAAAAGTAACAAAGAGAAGTCTGTTCTAGGCCATTGGTCCTATTGTCTCTTCTTGATGGACAAGCTTGCATAAATTCCACACAGATTAAAAAGCACTGGACCATGCAATTATAATGGCAGAGGGCATTTAAAATGCATTTACTGAGAAGACACATTGATTGTTATCTGTCTCCTGATGTCAATGCAGTCCATTACATAGCTACCCTTCTGTCATTTTATTTCAGATTTCAAAAATACAGCACGCAGCAGTAAGTTACAGGACAGAAAAATGGCTTGTTCTGACAAAGTTACACTGAAGTACAGGGCTCCACTTTGGCAATTAGTTATTGTTGTTCAAATGGCCCAAGTCCTCATCTTGCATCAGTGCCAGACAGGCTTGACTGTCATACTCCCAGGACATCTCCAGATCCTTTCTGTAGCCAAATCAGACTCATAAAACAAGAGACAGGACCACTCCATCTAGGAAATCCCCTGCCTGCTGCTGGCTTGCTTCACCCACAGGTCAGGATCTACGACTTGTCAGAAACCTGACCAGGTCTCAGTTCTTGTCCAAGTCCGCTTTGCTCAAGCTCTGCTATAACTGACATATATTTAAATTCACTAGATCTGTGGTTGAAGGTCTCCACTAATTTGTAGGTCTCGGAACGATCCGTCGCATAGAAAAGCTGCACCTGATTCGCCAAGCACTGTGCTTCACGGACCACCTGCAAGTTAAAACAAAGAACTTGTTATTATCTGGTTTTGTTTTATTTGAGTATCCCGCTGAAAAACTCTTCAGCAGCTGAAAGGCTGCCGTCCTACTCATCAAACGACTCGATTCCAAGCCACCTTAGTTTTGCAAATCTCTTAACAAACCACCTCCCTCTTGTTCCTGACCTCCTTACACACTTTAGCACTGTGCCTACAAACTACTCTCCTGCTGAGCATACACCTCAGAGGTCAAAGATGTCTTTCATGATCCCTGCCCACTCTAGGGCACTGGAGATGCACCAAAGCCTCATCTTCCCCTTCTTACGGTTGACCTATTTGCAAAAATTGTCTACTCTGAGATACAACAGGGCAAATGCATTACCAATGACTCCTCTGTGCATAGTTTCAGAACTGGTTTAAGTAGGTCACTTAGAGGTGGGATGCTTCATTTCTTGTTCCACCAGTATAATCCCTAGTGCTATTAGTCCTAGTACCGTACTATTACAGATATGCAAATAACAGCACACCCACACATAGGGAAAATAGCGAAGGCACGCAGAAACCTAACACAAAGCTCTGGAGGTCTCCTGATTTGATGAGCAGTATTAAGCTTCACTGTTTTAACATGTTGGCAGGTAGCAAAAGCTTTCATTTAAATTTGCTCCCATTAGTAAGAAAACCAGAAGCGTTTCTATTTTTTTTTACAACAATCAACTATAATACCCAGAGTAAGGGGAAAAAAAAAGTATGTATGAGCTGAAATCATCACACAGCCAAAGACTTATTATTTCCTTGTAGCTTTCCCTAGTAATAAGTAGATTAGGTTAAAGAAATCTAGTAAGACCACTCTTTGTGAAAGGATCTTTTAAAGACTTGACTTTAATTTGGTTTTAATTCAAAATTATAGGAGGAGTTGCAGCATAAAATGAAGGAAGCCAATGAACAGATTTCTCCGATTTCTCTTACCAAGAACTTTGAGTCCATTTCTGCTGTCATTAGTACTATCCCTTTTTCCTTCTGCAGCTCAGGATAATGGTACAAGACCAACTGGCTAGGAGCAGTTTCACCTTGGGTCTGAAGGAGATAAAGAAACCTGTCAGTACCCCATAAAGAACTTCAGCGCTACTGCAGATTTTGAGGCTTGATTACAAAACTTTTGGGTATTAACTGCTACAGAGCTGTAATTTTTCAAGGCTTAAGGGTCAGTTCCAATTAGAAGTTCATTATTCCTGGTATTTAGAGAAAACAAGGGATTTGCAGAGTTAGGTTGGGTTTTTCCTTGACTAAAGACCATTTTGCATTTAAAATAATCTGCAATTTCCAGAAAGACATTTAATCTCATAGCATCTACTGGTATTTTAAGTAGTTTGCGCAAACAGTTCTAAAAAGTTTGGCTCTTGCTTCTATTTTGAGATTATTTGACTTCTTCCTCATTCTCCTTCAGATTAAAGAGACACTTAATACCCATAAATTTACTAATTTACCCATAATTAATTTACTAATTTACCCACAATTAATGGCAGTTTTTCCCTGATAGTAATTCTCAAGTTAAGCTAGCCAAACTGTTCATTAAACTATTTAGCAAATATTATATATTGTAATATGCTGATATTATATATTCCTGGATCTTAAGCCATTTTGGGACTTTTTATTTCAATCACTCACCTGAATGTTTATTAGGGAAGTGAAGTGCAATTCTGTTCCTGACCACTGGCCCACAAAGAACTCATAGCCTTCTTTTCTTGGCAAAGCATACAGAAACTACAGAGAAATGATAAAAAAAAAACAATTCTCCCTTTCATAGAACAAAATGATGCCCGTGTCATACTGGCCTCCAGCATAAATGCTTCAGCAAGAGAATCACAACAGAGGAAAGGGTTTGTTTGCCCCACCGCAAGTGATAGGACAGCAGGAACCAGATTTCAAAGCAGATCATAAATCAACGTTACCTTATCGGTATTCATTAGCAAATATGCTGGCACATATTTTTATCAGTATTATATGAGACAAAGGAGAGGACAGTGGAGAGCATTCAGACTCCAACCTTTTTGTTCACTTCTAGAAGGTTAACAGCAGAACAGATAGGACAAGAGGAAATGGGCTTAAGCTGCGCCAGGGGAGGTTTAGACTGGAAATTAGGAAAAATTTCTTTACGGAAAGGGTGGTCAGGCATTGGAACAGGCTGCCCAGAGAGGTGGTGGAGTCCCCATCCCTGGAGGCGTTTAAAAAACGGGTAGATGTGGCACTTCGGGATATGGTTTAGTCTGGTCTACCCTTGATTAGTCTAGAGTGGGCTTGGTAGTGTAGGTTAATGGTTGGACTGGATGATCTTAAAGGTCTTTTCCAACCTAGATGATTCTATGATTCTATGATTCTATAAATGGTCAAGCGTAAAGTAAGGAACATTCAGAGTTTTTAATCCTGTGATTTCACGAACTGTTCCAGAACAGGCAGCAAGTATTTTCTCGAGATTTCTCTAGAGATTTACAGTCTATTCAGCTCCATAGGCTAGAGACTTGCTCATTTTCCCACACCAAAGGAAAGGACAAGACAGGAGCAGAAAAACAAGCATGATACCTGACTAGATGCCAATGCACTGTACAGAAATACACTTAAACCTAAAAATAACTTTCCAAGCTCCAAGTAGCTTAGAAGTCAGATATATTTGATCTTGCTCTTGGCAAGTGTAATATACAGGACCAATCCATCAATCCAGTAGCGTCCACCATTCAGATCTACAAAAGCACTCAACGCAGCAAAGTCTGCTACTTTGTTTTCATAAAGGAGCGAAGCAATTAATTTCTGTCTCAGCACAGTGAAATTTGCACAAAGTCCATGCTTTGATGCACAAATTACTTTCAACAGAAAACAATACTAATCCAGCAGCATGTGATACAAAACTGCAGAATATATTCTTTACCTTGTTAGCTGTTCTGCTCTTTTGCAGTTTAACTTCTTCAGTGCAACAACCTGCTCATTCACACAGGAATCATCTAACTGAAGCTTACACGATACCCACCAACCCACATGAGAAACAGTGAACGCAAATCTTGGGAATCCACTCATTTCTGAAACAACCATATTAAGCATTTTCATTATTTTATGCTTTGTTGTGCTGGCATACACCTAAGACACAACCCACAGAGTATTTACTCTGTATCTGTAATAAAGGGTCCAACTACACCCAATTCCCCCCTTCCTTCCCCCGTCACAGCTGTTGAATTACGATGCTCTGCAACAGGACTTACACTACTCAATTTTGCAGTACCACAGTCTTTCTTGACAACTCACACTCCCATAGAGACAGAGGTGCATTATTTACACAGCATCCTGCCTGCCCAGTTTGGCTTCTGTGCAAATAAGTCATATTCACTTAACAATATTTACCTACCACAGATCACCAGCGTGGTGAAGAAAGCATGGCTATGCACATTTATGATCAGGAAACACAAGCTAATAGATGACAAGGTTCAGTTCGTTCTGTGCACAGAACCCCAACATACTGATTTCTTGCCTTTTTCTCTTTCAGATACTGCTGCCTATCTTCACTGCCAGTAAACAAACATAAAAAGAAAGAGGAGCAACTCACACCAGCCATAAGACAAGAGAATTCACTTTCTCCATGTACATGCAATGTAATGCCATGGTGACAGGTAGCTACAGCTAATAACAGTTGCCCCAGGTTAAAGCAAGGATGCTTTAAGCAATAAGGGAAGATATGTAGGAACAGCTGGCCTACGAGGCTTGGCTCTTTATAACACTGCATGGAAGAGATTTAACCACAAGACATCAATTAATGGGAATGGGAGGTAGGTAGCTAAATCTATTCCCTGAGAGATTTTGTGCTCTCATTACTAAACCCTACATCTCTTTTATCTAGGTATCTGATATCTAGATCAAGCTGTTTAATACATATGAATAGCCATTGCTTTTATATGAACACTAACACAAGTATTTGAACACCTGGATTTTACTAATAGAGCTGATGGAATGAGTCTGAATACAGGAGGGTCAGAAATTTATGAATTAGGCTTTAGAGAGGAGCAATGCACCACAGCTATTCATCCACACATTGCGAGCCTCTGCCATACGTACCGATGGACATTCCTGGGCTCTCTTCCACACTAAATCAAACTTCTCTGCCTTTGGGGAAGGAGAAAGAGAAATTAAAGTTTCATAACACAAACGTGGATGCACAGTTATTCAGAATCATCTCATTAACCTTTACAGGGTACCATTTCCATCTACAGAAGGTCTCACTGCAGGAACAGCTAACAATTAGTGCACGGAAAACTGTATTTAGTTCTTAGTTACCTAAATGTCATTGGTATCCTATTTTAACAATGCTGTCTCTAAGATGCAGCAGCAAACTCCTTGGATCCAAAGCTTTATTCCCTGGAGGTGGGGGGCCCACGCTTTAGGCTTACATTACGTCCTCATTCAGTAATAGCTCCACTGCATCATGTTGGTGTCAACAGTTGAGCAAGACATTATCATCCCTGGCTCCAAATTGTAGATTTTATATCATAGTCATCTGTTCTTCAGTATTAAAATGCAGCCTAGATATCTACTCAAATAACATACTTATTGCTTAGGTTTATATTAAAACAAACATACTTGGTCATCCCTGATGAAACCTGGCAGTCTCATTCACGTGTCCTCTGCATTCCCTCCAAACCTTTTGCCCGCTATTCTCTTCCCAGCACCGTATATTAATACCTACTCTAAGGTGTTCATGAAAGAAAACATAGCCCATTCATCAACATGAAATTCCTCCGTGTGTGCTTTTGAACAGTGGAGAATCATGCAAGGCCTTTCTTCCAGCCAACAAAAAGCTTCTGGCAAAAGACGTAGTTTCTTCCCCAAGTGACACCAGGAACTACTTCCTAATGTGCTAGGATCTGCTCTGCATTAAAGCCTTGAAAGCTCCCAAAGCTCCTCTAAAACAGTGCACCAAAGAACAGTGCCAGACCCACTAATGAAAGACCTACACCATCTTAACTGGAGTCCCTGGCTTTGGCCCTCTGCTACAGTAAATGTGCAATTCAAACTATTTTCACGGCATCCACGTGTTGGGAAAACTGAAACACAAAGCTGCTTGACTTCAAATCCCACATTGCCATTTTCAGAGTATACAGTACTTCATACATTTAGAATACAGCCTCCCATCACTTCAGTTGCAGCTCAAAGGGCCAAGTACAACTGCAAATCAGACCCCAGATCTAAATGAGGTTTCAAGAACTCAAGGAACACACAGTTCGTGCCCAGCTGTGAAAAGAGAGATTTAAAAGATCATGATCACACAGAGACTCTGCAGCAAAGAATAAAAAGAAATCCCCAAAGCGAAAAAAACTCCTTTAGCCTAACACAGATTAACAACAATAACATCTGGTAAAGTTATCAGGAATAAGAAATACGATCTTATCACAGGAAGCACCATGCAATCCCAGTCAAAGACAGTGCTGCCAATAATTTTAAATGTATGAAAGTAAGTCATAAGTGATTAGCCACGTGCAAGTTATTGGCCAAGTGCTCTAACACTTCCATATGAAACTTGAGTTAGCAGTCCATGCTGCAGGGAAAAGGGGAAAGAAACAAGCAACTCTGAAAAAGAAATGATGTGAAAATACAAATGCTACCTTAATAGATACTAGGGCCCTGCGAAGAGTACTGGATACCGGATACAAAAGGCGTGGAAATTCAAGCCATGTGTACAGAAGAAAAAAAAAAAAGTACTAGTATTCCTGAGACTGACGTAAGTGAAAAAAAAAAGGAATATGCATTTCTGGAAACAAAAGCCTTTATTTGGGGCAGTAAGATCATTCAATCTGGAAAGTAAGTTTGTTCTTGAAACCTCGTTTTCTTTCAATGATTGCTTTTAAAAGCAACAGAATCAGTTAGAAAGGAAAGCTTTGCACATTGGCCTTTCAAGAGCATAACTACAGGGGAACTACTTACAGGAATAACAGCATAAACAGTATCTTTTGCAGAAAAATACTGATTCCAAATCTGTAGGAAACAAAGGAGATGAGGTACAGTTAAAATCAAGCATCTAGCAGTAATATTAAATGCTTTAAAAAGAATTCCATTTGTCAACTAACCTTTGTAAGCACTTGAGAAGTCATTTTTCAATCAATCCTGACTAACTTTCCTGCTAATGGTAATGCAATACGCTTCTCCTAAGGTTCCAGAGTACTTGTACCAAATGACAGATTTCAACTAGTTAACAGAAAGGGCTCAGAGGTGGCTGAAGATTTACTAGACATCAGAAGTGCTTCTTACATTTTTCCCAACAATCACACTAATGATTTCTAGAGGCTTTGAGTTGTTGGGTTTGGGGTTTTTTTTAATAAAGAACAGACAAAACGTTTTCAACAGAAGGCAAGACTTTGCAGAATGCTCCTCTGTGTTCACAATCTTTTTTTCTCATCACAGCAGGATGGCAATACCAACATAAAAGCTCAAACAAAGTCCTTAACAAATGGACAAGTGCAAGCAAAAGCCCAGAGCCCAGAGTCACTCTTCCCCAGTCCTACACGA